CCGCCACGGGTCCACTGAAGTGTAGCACGGTCCGGAGCGCTGTGGGCCATGCAGTTCAGCGTGAAGCTCTGGCCAGACTGCACGTATGTGTCCTGGGGCTGGGACGTGAATACTGGTCCCCCGCTGCTGCACTCGGGGTTAGAATCGGTGCCTGGTCAGTGCAAGCATCGTCACACACACACACACACACACACACACACACACACACACACACACACACACACACACACACACACACACACACACTTGTTCTTGTACTTGTTGCACACTGCCAAAACCGGTCACGTGGGTCTCCCCGGGAGAGGGGAGAGAGACTCAAAAGGAATCTTGGAAAGATGACTCAATTGGCTATTGAACCGCCCAACGGCCGACACCCCCTGAAATCCCCAAAACTCTGGGTGGACTTGAAAATGATCCCACTTATGGGCTCACCACACCTCAGTAAGTGGGTGAGGACAAGGTGCAGAAAAAGGATTGACGGCATCAGGGTATCCGTCCTGGGATCCAACTGCAGTTACCCCTGCCCCCAGTGAAGGTAATACGTGCTACTAGTGTGGGTGGCTAAATCAGAGTGGATCTGATATTAGCTTCACTAGCACCATTGATTACACAAGAGTTAATCTAGCCAGAAGCAGTCCATGGTTAACAGGTATGTATACTTCAAATAGAAAGTATATGAACCCTGGAACCAACAAAGGTGGCAGGTACAACATTACACCTTCATGTAGCCGAGCCCGTTGGCAACAGACCCAACACAATCAGGCATAAGTGTACCCACCAACCGAACTAGCTGGCACTCTGACCTTCTACCGACCACCCGCACGACCTTTTACAGAAGCACGGGCATCGGTTGCACATTGTTAGTGCCGTGCACACAGACGTGAAAACGACGAGCCTCGGAAGAAGTCCACTCGTTTCTCGCGTGGCACACACACACACACACACACACACATACACACACACACACACACACACAATGCGGACGATAGAGGCACATGTAAGTTCATATCGTGCACTGAAACTAGCATTACATTTTGCTTAGAATAATAATTTGAAGCCTTTTCGACACAACGTGAGGTATGCACGCAGCCTATAGAAAGAATAGAGAGGTTAAGATCACGTTATTTCTGACGTGACGCGAAAGTTCAGCTCGCGTTATTTGCCTCGCGTATCGAAAAACAACGCAAGTGACCTGCAGGTCACGTCGAAATTTGGAGTTTCATACCAAATTTGACGTCAACTTGCGCGTCAAGTCGGAAATAACGTGCATCTTAACCTCTCTGTTAACTCAATCACACACACACGCACACACACACACACACACACACACACACACACACACACACACACACACACACACAAACACACACACACACACACACATGTAGTCCCAGTTGCACATCAGACAGTGCGTGCAATGGTGTACAAAAATAGACATCAATCGACAAAACATGACCCGGTATAAAACAACTGATTGAGCTTTTTTTAAATTGACCAAGTTCTGTGTTTATACTCTGGCAGAGCGTGCTTTTCAAGATCAGGTTAAGTAAGTCGCAGACCCAACATGATGGCTATGTTAATACCTCCGAGAGGATTGTCATCGCTACATCCAATCCCCAGTGTACTAACAGAAAGTCTTACCGGCAAAGAACACGGTCCAGGAGCTCTCCTTAAGGACCTCGCACGTCTTTGAGCAGTAAACGCGGATCTGTAGACTCGTGAAAGCATCGAGTAACATCACTCCAGCTGCTGTGAGCGTGTTTGGCTGGCTGGGATCTTGAACAGCCGACATCTTAGAATGAAGCCCATTGGGACAAGCGCTACTAGTTCCCGGAACGCATCCGTCTACCATTACCGAAGCACTTATCCAGGAACCAGAAGATAATCCCGAAAGACGTATGTTGAACATCACATAGAACAAACCTACAGCGGACATCAGTATTTGGGACACATTCCCCAAATTGAGCACTCCAATCATAATCAACATTCACATTCTCATTCATTCTTGTGTGTGGTGAAGGGTAAAACAAGCAATGGTCCATTCTGCCAGCGAGAGACTGGCAATACAAGAGAGATCTTATCAGATAGGTGTGTGCAGCAGGGGGGGGGGGGGGGGAAGGGATAGAAAGAGAAAAAAGGGTGAGGGGAAATGCAGACAAATAGACTTTAAACACTACTAGAGTGTTGCTACTGAAGTAACTACCATGTAGCTAACGCTATTCTGCATCTCACAACCATACCGTGTATTGTTCTGCACTTCATAATAATGTACTAGTCGGTTACAGGCCCGCCCGCCCGCGCGCGCGCGCGCGCACGCACGCCCGCCCGCCCGCGCGCGCGCGCGCCCGCACGCACGCCCGCACGCACGCACGCACGCACGCACGCACGCACACACACACACACACACGACACTCACAGCATGCACAGTGATGCTCAAAGGAAATCCGATCGCGTGAGGCAAGCACGAATCGTTCGCTGTGCAGCCCTAGACCTGTGGACACTGGGATGGTGAACTGGTGCAGGGCGCAGACTTGACTCACGCAATTGCATTTCATCGAGCAGCATTGCACTAGCTCTGGCCTACTGTAAATATACAAAAGTCTCGGCTGCTATTTAATTTCAGCTTTATTCAGCACCGAGCCAAAACGCCTAATTAAACCTCTGAGGAAATGTTTCACATTGGCCTAGGCGATGCGCTAAACTGCAGTATTCACCCCGTGCCGAATATATACCGCTACCGAAACGTCGAAAATCGCGACATGCCGAAATTTTGCAGCACGAAAATTTGGTATAGTTCCAGTAAACCTACATGCATATGCATAGTAGTAAGTTGAGATGAGCAAATCACTCATCGCTTGTTAGCATCACGCATGAACGCCTAGAGGCTCGCGTGACGCTACATCAGTTTTCTTGATCCGAGCAGCAAGATTATCTCACCGGCTGTTGTTGTGTAGAAACGCCCAATAGACTCGTCGAAATGACCACTTGTGAAGGAGTAGGCGCCGCTAGTGGACCATTTGGATGATAGAGTGCGGTAGCCGCTACTGTACCTCACGGAGCCGCTTGGCTGTGCAATGAATCCTTGCGCGGCAGAAGGGTGAATGACATAGACCATACTCATGCCCGTCTGAGAATTGATTGTGTATGACGTATCTGAGATAGCATTGATCTGTGACACAGACACACGGATGCACATGGACACACGGATGCACACGGATACACACACACACAAAAAGAAATCTTGGAAATAGGACTCAATTGGCTATTGAACCGCCCAACGGCCGACAACCCCTGAAATCACCAAACTCTGGGTGGACTTGGAAATGACCCCACCACACCTCGATAAGTGGGTGAGGACAAGGTGCAGAAAAAAGATTGACGGCATCAGTTAATCCGTCCAGGGATCCAACTGCATTTACCCATGCACGTGCATACACACAGACAAAGACCGGGAGACAGACAGACAGACAGACAGACAGACAGACAGACAGACAGACAGACGCATACACAAGCGCACTGACAGACTGCAAGAGCTTACGGCTAGGTTCACGGTGTCTCCCAACTTGAGAGGTAGGATACCAGTTAGAGGTATGTGTCCACTGGATTTACCAACAGCACCGCTTTTCACGTAAGATATAGGATACTGAAGGTCCTGCTGCATGTTCACAATAAACTTGGCCTGCATTCGGAGTAGATGTAAATACAGATAGGGAACGATGGTGTTACTAAAAGCACCGTGATAGTGCCCTGAGGGGCCTGGGAGATTTACCATCTTGACAGCTACCAGCAACAGAGAACATTGGCTAACATTGCATGTAGCAAGCAAAGTGTTAGGCGCTTGCTATGGTGGCGATGGTGAATTTTCTTGCACAAAAAAGGCAAAATGAATTTCAATTCTAGTTTGGACTCGTACTCGGGGCGCCAAGGTAAATTTATAGAAAAGAAAAAAGCCGTCGGGCAATGCTGTGCAATGTTATCACAGGAGCTGATTGTTTAGTAGCTGGTGGTGTTAGTAGACATTATAGCGTAACTTGCAGTTCCTTGGTCCTTTTTCTTTTCTATAATTTTTGGTTTGGTTCAAAGGTAACACACCTCTTGCTGTAGACCAACACCAGATGTAGCAGATAGCAATATGTAACCATGGTCACCTTGCCTGAAAACACAAGGGTCGGGAAACGCGCATGCACTGGTTGCTGCGTTCGATTACGCACTCGAATCGATTCATGAATGGAATCTCGCCCAGTTCGATTTCATGTCATGACTGCGGCCCTGGAATCGATTTCATGTCATGACTGCGGCCCTGGAGTCGATTTCATGTCATGACTGCGGCCCTGGAATCGATTTCATGTCATGACTGCGGCCCTGGAATCGATTTCATGTCATGACTGCGGCCCTGGAATCGATTTCATGTCATGACTGCGGCCCTAGAATCGATTCGGAATCCATTCACCCTGTTCACATGGGCTGATGCGAATAGCGTGAATCGATTCACGAGTGGATTCATGAATCGATTCGCGGGCATAATCGAACGCACTCGCTGCTCTGCAGGCATCGGCGTATAATATGCACAGTGTTAATGCAGGGTTCTAGCCAGGTCAAAATAGTAGGGGGGGGGGCATGGGAAACCGTTACCCGTATCGCATTTTTCCACTTTCCAATATTTTCTTGCCACGCTAAATGCAACGTATGGGGTGAATCCCCGACTTCGCCCCAGACAAATAATTATGCCTTTTAATATGAACCATCTGATAGTGACTTTCGACTGCATTTTCGTTGAATTACATGAAAAACACGAAAATCGGAAAATAAGTAGGGGTGGCACTTTTTCACGGGGGGGGGGGGGGGGGGGGCGCAAACAGAGTAGGGGGCACTGCCCCCCCCCCCCCCCTTAGCTTCTGTTTCACTGGAGCGTGGCCCTGAACATGACAGCCGGCTGCTCGCTAAACCTCCACAGTCCCGACGCCGATACATAATGATCCGCGCGGAATGTCTGCTCTTCACATACAGTATAACACTGGACAGCAGGGTAGTGACTAACCTCAATGGGACCGCTTCCGGCACCATCCAATCGGATATTGGCAGTGAACATATAGAGACCGTCATACTTGGCCCTGAATAAGCCTGTTGTGGTGGAGAAGACATTGCTTCCCCGATTGTACAAGTCGGTTCCCGCAACTCTCCACTTTCCGGGTAGTGTCACACCTGCGGCCTGCAGATGACACAAGAAGGGGTTTTCAGATAGAAAATATATCAAGCAGTACACAGTCGAGAAAGCATGCAAGATGCACGGTACATACGCAGCCGAGGGGCCCAGTTCACCTGTACATACGGAGATCTGGACATGGCCATACATACACACCCGAGCACGTATGTCCATACGCACCCTAGCACTCCCGTATGCTTTGTACATGCGCCTGCTCACAAACCGTCACACACGCACACTGCACGTGTCAGTGCATGCGCTAGAAGTGAATTCGAATGCTATATGAATACGATAAATAGCACATACTATGGATTCGATCAGAACACGGATACAACAGCACATTGCACTATTTCCTCTACATCTTCATTTGCAACAGATTTCAGCAGATATTTTGATGCCATTCAGTCTACGGCAAAAAGAATATGCCGAGCACAGTAATATCATTGGGGTCCAGCCACCATTGCGTGCGGTGATGCGGTTAACTATAATGCCACAATAGGTTGTGTGAAAGAATTTGTGTATGGTCTCTTCCCTACCTTCACTGGGATGGATGCTGAGAGATCAGCAGTGAACGATGGTCGCTGCTGGCCCAGGTGTATGGCGCCGAGCGACGAAACAGAGTTCACCGTGAACGTGGCGTCGCTGAGCGACCTGTAGCGGACCGAAATGGTCTTGCCTACGGTCAGGTATCTGATGGTGGAAAGGTGAACGGACTGGCTGGATCCAAGCGGAGAGCTGTAGTATGAGCATCCACCAGCTTCATAGTTGGTTGCGCCGTTAATTGAAATGCACACGTAGAGACCGCTACCGCCAAGTCCTGCAAATTCACGCAGCAGCAGCAGCAGGAAAGGATGGGTATAGAGTCAAGATACTCGACTTCAGATATGCCAGGGTGGAAACCGGCATATCACCTGCCGTTGGGAGAGAATAATCTCATTTGTGTACACCCGCCAATACAATGCATTGTCAATTATGTTACTAAAAAAGAGAGGACCATAAGCTTACAAGTTATCGGTTTTGTCCAACACTAACACTAACTTATGGTCCTCTTTTTTTAATTTTAATCCTTGGCTCTACATCCAAGTTCAATTATGTTACTGATTGCAGGAGAGCTTTGCACTTTTTGAAGACAACATAGACTCCACAGATTTAACTGTGATTTGAAGGGGGCAGGGGGGCAATTGGCTTTTCTAAGTATTTCCCAAAGTCCATCGCATCAATTTACACATCACTTCACTTAGTCCCCACACATGATCTCTTCGCTGCACGTGTTGCTCTGCATTCACCTAGTTGTCTCCAATGTGGCCCATACTCAGGGTAAACCAGAAATACCCTGAGAGAACTGTCAAGTTCCGGGTGAGTTCAAAGTGAGCTCATTTAAACTACCCAAGCCGCGAGACCGGCTTCGCGGCTCAATCCTATCGTCATCCAGTAGTGTTTATCAGGACGTAAAAAGTACACCTGCTAATGATGGTTGCGCTACGAAAATGATGTCCAGGAAAAGTCGTCAAAATCAAGGGAATTTAGCCTCGTTGTCCAGGGAGCTCAAGCCTCCAGCAGGTTGGCATGCATGGCCATGGTAGTTACTGCTATGCATGTACAGGATTGCAGCATGAGTGCTGACGCTGAACCAACTCTGTAAAGAACATTGCCACGCTTACTTTCGGGGGAAGAACAGCAGTGAAACCTGTAGTAGTCATGCATTGTACATCACGGCTGTAGTACTGATGTGTGCAGTCATGGTAACAAGGGCATTGCGTAATGCTCTTGGCTATATGGTTGGTTTAGCCCTCACTTCCTTGTATTGGCTATTGTCATTATGTGCCATGAAGTGCAGACAGTAAATAAAATAAATAAATATGCGGCTGTTGAGCTGGTTTAGCATGACTAACTAGTTATCACAAAACCGTGCTATTGTCACAGGAGCCTATCCACTACCAGAAGAGACAGAGCACTGTCTTGATAGACCGGTAGTCCTCTCGCTTACCAAACAGTAGATCTACTTACTGACTGTACAGACACTCAGACCGGCCCTGTGCATGAAGATTATTAGTCCACGGCAACAAAACTAGTGGCTTTCGGGATCAGTGTGTGCAGCAAATGGTTGGCCGCCGAATGCAGCTTGGCAGCAAACGGACAGAAGCTACCCTGCGGCCACACACACGGCTCACAGAGCCAGGGAGAAAGAAAGCTAGCAAATCTTAACTTACCATCAAAGGTCAAGGTTGTCGTGATGAAGTAGTATCCTTCTTGTTTGACAGTATACAGGCCGGTACCACTGTTGATCAGACCAAGGCCCGTGTTGTGCATGCCGCGCTGGATCTCGTATCTGTTGGCACTATAGAGCAGATTGCGTACAACTTGCCAGCTCGTTGATCGTATGTTGGCATTGGTCAATAGGTCAGCAAGGTAGGATGTTGGCTGGTACGGTGTGTTGGTGACGAGGATGGCACTGAACGTCGACTCTGTCAGGAGCTGGTAGCTACTGTCTGAAGACTTGGTGTAGAAGGAAAGCGTCTGGCCCTTAGACAGTAGAGCCGTGCCGACTAACGTCACACTGTAGGTCGTAGACGGTGCCTGGAAGTTGCTGTACAGTCCATTGTTGCCATTGTCCGCATTGTTGATAAACAGCTGAGTCTGGTAATAGGTTTTCACATTGAGACCAGACAGCTTCACATTGGCCGAGATCAGGTAGGTTCCCTTATATGGCACAGTGTAGTAGCCGCTGGAAAACTTCATATTGGAGACAAAGGATCCCAGGGTGGCAGAGTACGTGGGAGTAACCGACAGTGCACGGGACTTGGTGCCCATTCTCTGCGTAGTCTTGACGCTGGCCTGGAAACCTGGCGTAGCGACAGTGGGAATACCAATGTAGCTGCCTGAGAAAGTAGTGTCGGTGCTAATAACAGACCCGGGCTTGGTGGCGTACACCCACAGACCCACTTTGCTGTTGGCCGTCATGTACAGCGTTCCACTGACTGCTTCGGTGAATGAAGCTGGTTTGTAGGTAGCGGTCAAATCCCGACTGATACGCAACCCTCCACCATTGGGCGATGGCCCCACCCTGCCCACGACAAGACGATAGGTGGTGGAAGCTACTGCTTTGTCAAAGCGCACTTGAGCTGTGAAGAAATAGTAGCCAGCCTCTGAGGCGGTGAAGATTCCGGTCGACGGGGAGAATGAATAAGTCGTTTGGAAGAGGCCATAGTCAGCTCCGCCGGCCGTGCTGAAGCCTGCTACAGGTGTATACTTGTTGGCAACGACCGGGATAGTGGCTGACAGCCCTACCAAGAATGCTTCAGTCGGGCCGGGACTGCCAATGCGCTGCACTGACATCGAGCTCAGAGAAGATATCGTCCAAGATGCGTCGGGAGAATACGCAAACGTCGACACATAGTCACCCTGGTCCAGGTACATGAAGCCCGAGACGGAGACCGTCCCAGCCCACTGGGCGCCTGAAGCAGTCTCCATGGCACTGAGACCACGCGAATGACTGGTTCTACCGTTCTTGGCGATCATCACTCGCGTCTCGTTGACGGTGGCCGAGTCGATACGTACGTTAGCGGCCACGTAATAGACACCAGCCACTTGTATGGTGTACTGTCCTTTACTGTTGGACAGACCACTATCGGCTTTGTACAATCCAGTTGTGTAACCATAGTTGGTTAGGTAGTTCTTGATCTCCGCCCAGCCTGGCTTCAGATTGCTCATCGTATTGATATCGGCATGGAAACCAAGCGAGGGCAGTGCCGGCCCCACCAGAGCGACGCTGAATCCGCTCTCGCTTTGAACGTAGCTCGTGTCGCCGACTGACTGCGTGTACAGCCGGACAGTGTCGCCTCTCGCAAGGTACAGAACAGCTGATATGTGCAACGTAAAGTATCTTGCGGTGTAGTAGTAGCCGCGGATGCTTTGCATGCCGTTGTTGACGTCGACCTTTCCATTCACAGCAACCACAGCTCGCTGGTAGCTGCTGGAATCACGCCCATCAATACGTAGCTAAAAGCAGGACAGGACACAAGTAAAGAGCTTAGTCTACAGACAACTTGGCTAATAATGGACTGCGGATGTAACGACAATTCGCGAATAACGACAGAATTTCCATGCCCAGAGCAAAGTCCCATCTAAATGTAATAAAGTAGGTGTCGGTTATAGCGTGGGTGTTTGAAAACGGCTTTCTATTCTTATTTCCGATATTTCTTACGCACGATAAATCCAGTGTGACATATCATATGCATGTGCGCAGAGGCAGGAAGATCATCTTACATGCAAGGTAGTGCTATTGTACATACGGCTGGTCATAGTCCCATAGGCTTACCATGTGGCTATGCAACATGAGTTACATGACCACAACAGTTGAACCTGCAGCACTACGATGCAATGCGAGTCAGATCAGAACTGCAATGGACAGATATTATTACTAAAGGCGATACACTTTGTACTAATCTGGTACCGTATTTCCCCGTAAGTAAGTTCTCCCCAATGACTTAGTACCCCCCTATAAAAAAATACACTTTCCACTGCCGAGGTTATCACCCCGAAAGACAGTTCCCCCCGAAAGATAGTCAGTTCGTACCCGTCCTACATGTACAGACACCGTACAGTACATACATCATATGCACGGACACTAGAGTTGCGCAGGCTTCCCACTGCGTGTCATTTACCCCGATAAAAAAGTACTCCCCGAAAGATAGTACCACCCCCGAAAGTTAGTACTCATGTGGCTGCTAAGTTCGAAAGTTAGTACGTACTAACTTACAGGGAAATACGGTATGTTTTGCTACACAAAGTCCATTCTTAGGACCAATATATTCTACTGTACAATAAAATTGCTTGTAAGAATAGATGTGCACTTGAAATCCATGTTCTGATTATGAAAACATGAGAGTTCTTTCTTTTAGGCAGTATAATTATTTTACACGACCACACTATAACCCATACGCACTGTACATATATTTTACACGACCACACTATAACCCATACGCACTGTACATATATTTTACACGACCACACTATAACCCATACGCACTGTACATATAGTGAGACTTCCCGTATAAGTACACTTCCCAAATAAGGACACTTTTCTGATGCCCCGCCGAGTGTCGTTATACGCAAAACAAAAACAAAAAATAAAATTGACGGGTTCGCGTACCGGGCAGGTCAAGAACAAGGAGTTGCACAAGAAGGTCAAGAACCACCTTTCCGCTTCCGTGGGACGCCATCACCCCATGATCAGGCGTCAGATGCGGCTCCTAAACGGTGGGGAGGATAGATCAGATCCACCAAAGTTGACTGTAATACTCACAATTTGAGCAAGTCCAACAGTTGCTGTGATGATCATTTACAACGTGCAGCACAGAGTGCGCAGTGTGAAACACAGGGTTTACAGTGCAAAACACAGGGTGTATAGTGTGAAACACAGGGTTTACAGTGTTACAGTGCGAAACACAGGGTGTACAGTGCGAAATACAGGGTTTACAGTGTGAAACACAGGGTTTACAGTGCGAAACACAGGATTTACAGTGTGAACCACACAGCCGTTAGCGTGCAATACAGTCATATTGACATGTAAGTAGTATTAAATTTTTCTCTGTCCCCTTAGCAAATTCAGTATTCACAAGAATTCTCGCATATTTCCAGTAATTCTGGGTATGTCAATCGGGGCTCCAGAAGTAGCCAGGACGTTAAAACATATGATCAGTTCACATTATACCAGCATGTTGAAGGGCAGAAACTTAAAGGAGTGGACGGCCACGCCACTTACGTTAGCACTGATGAGATAGTAGCCGTCATCGCTAGCGTAGAATGTGCCGCTGCTGAACGCGCGGTAGGAGTTCAGCTGATACGCGCCAAGAGCGCTCGTCCTCCAACTGTTCAAATGAATGAAGCTGGATCCCATGCTAGGGCTATTGGCCAAATCAGCCAAGAAGCCGCTCGCGTAGGCAGAGTATTGCGTCAAATAGATAACGGATAAGGTTGACTCCGAACCAATCCTCCAGCGGTTATCGCTGGATGAATGCACTAATACTTCCAAGTACCTGCATCAGGCACAGACAACAGAACACGAAGCTGTTAGCAGCGTACGATGGCCTCAGACTGGGCACAAGACAAACAGCACCAGCAAATGCCCATTGCAGAATAATTTGCACGGCAGGGAGTCCACTTTCTGCTGATCTTGTGCAGATTCTATAAAGAAGGTTGGAACAGTTTTAAACTTCACTTCTCTTCAATTCCAAAAACGGTCTCTTCACTGCGATTCAAAGAGACCGTTTTTGGAATTGAGAAGTGAAGTTTGAATGTGTAAGTGGCTGCGTTGCAGTTTGCCGACAATAAGAAAAGGGAACAGTTTTATTCAAAGTTTTATTCAAAATTTCATTAGCCTATAGTTCATGTACTTGTGGCTGATTCATATGGCTGATTCAAATGGTGGTAAATACACGCCTGCCCACACATGCTCTCTAAGCCGCAAAGCAATTCTGGCGCAGAGCTCTCCTTCTCACCACCGCCACCATCAGTTCTCGCATGGCGCCTACAGCACTGCCGGGCGCCAAAGAACAGCCAGGTTAGAATTTCACCAATTGTTTAAGAACGGTGTAGGCTAGATGATTGGCAGATAAGAACGGAAATCGTAATATACATTATAGTGTACACTATAACATACACTATAATATACACTCAGACGTATAACTTGTGGCTCTGCATAAATGTACCTGTACAATCATGTAAGACCGTGCCATCGAATAAGAATGAAACTGCTGTGTTTGCTAAAAAAATAAGAACGGGCTAAGCTAGAAGCCTGACCCCCCCCCCCCCAGTTCTTTGGTAGTCTATGCATGGTTAGTGATATCCGACATAGCGGGCTGGTACATCAGGTATAGCGCATGACGCATAGCGGATGACACAGCAACGACATAGCTCGATTGCGACGTACGTTTCGTCCCCGCTGAACTCATCAGGCAATCTTCTTCTTCTTCGTTCTCTTCATACGGAGCTTGACTCGGGAGAATGAAGTTGAAGACTCTACTGCAGCTGTGCGCCATATTGCCAGGCGTGAATCAACCACAAGTACAGCTGCGGTGGAGTTTTCAACTTCATAGTAGAGGGGACGGTTTCAAATAGGAAATATGTTGCAAACCGGAACGGGCTCAATGTCCACTTTCTCTCTTGGTATTTTGATTAGAAAACGTATGTCACAGTGAGACTACGATGTGTTTTGCGCCAAAATTTCATGGCTCTGCGATGACCAGAAGCGCCATACCAAGCAGGTGAGATTTTGATGTGTAGTTCGAGTTTTTTA